GCTGAACAGGAAGAGATTGAGTGGGAGAGCCAGACTAGGAGGATACTGGGAAGAAGGAGGGTGGAGTCTGAGGAGCCAGACACAGAGGAAGCAGAAGATAAACATGCCATGCTAAAAAAAAAAAAAAAGTACCACCACATGGCAGAGCATAGATAAGAAATATGGGTTATTTTAAAATGTATAAGTTAGCTAGTAACAAGCCTGAGCTATTGGCTGAACATTTATAATTAATATTGAGTCTCTGTGTCGGTTATTTAGGAGTGGTTCCCAGGACAGAAAAACTCCACCTACAGTTGCAAGTGTCTCTGGAAGCAAAGCAGAATTCACCAGAAGCAAAAGGACTGACAAGGCAAGGGGAGAGCTGCCTAGGAGGAGACTTGGTGAGTCCATTTATGATTATTTATTTGCAATCTGCATACAACTCTTCTTTGAGCAGTGGTGGTTGCAGCAGCTTGTCTGTGCCTTCTCTGGTGGAGGCCTCTGTGCTAGGGCAAGTCAGAGAGGGAACTGAAGCAAAGGAGTTGCCCAGGAGGGGTTTGGTGGTGAGACCAGAGTGCCCAGTCCTCAGAAGGTCAAGTTTTGTGTTGGAATTTGCTTCCTGGGTGACCTCAACATGCACGTATTTCTCTGCCTCATCCCTTATCTGAGGAGCACAAGAAAGGTTTCCCTCCAAGGGCTGCAGAACTTGGGCAATCCTCGGTCCAGCGTTACAGCTCCACACATCGTACAGAGCAGCTCTGATAATAACTTCTGTGCACAATAGACTCAGTTGTAAGTGAATCATTGGTTCATCAAGCTTATGGAGAGGGGAAGAAAGCAGTCATAGCACTTGCAGAAAAGAGCCTGGATTTGTCAGCGTGAAACACATCCCTTTGAACTGCAGAATGGAGTAGGGCAGAGTGGTCAGCGGGAAGGCACGGACCATGGGCTTCTGGGCTGTTAGTAGGCATTGGATGGGTCAGCTATTCAAGGGTCCCCACACTCTGTGACTTCCCAGGCTTGTCCTCTCTGTACCTATGTCCCTATTGACTCTCCAGTCTCTGGAGTTCAATATCACATTTTTTTTCTTCATCACATAGGGAAAAAACATGACCCACTTATCTGCATTCAGGGGAAGCATCCATATTTCATTCTTGCCCATAACGGTAGCTCCTTTACTGGTTTCCTTCCATCCCACTTTCCCATGCCAGGCTTCACTGCTGCTGGAATCAGCCTGTAATTTTCATTCTGTAGCCTCTTCCCCTTTGGGTGATTACCACTCTACCCATGTAATTACCAGCCTCCCTAAATAGAATTTTAATGGCCGTAAGACATTTCATTGTGTGTCTGGGATTGTTGTATTTAATCATTTGCTATTTTTTTTGAACCTCCAGAGGTTTCCAGGTTGTCACTAGGGGCTGATCACTTATCAATGACTCATTTTCTGTGGAAACTTACTTCACATCTCTGATAGCATCAGGAGGACATAATCTGGGATGTAGAAATGCTGCAACAAAGGTTAAGACCTGTCTTGGGCTCTTCAAAAGAGTGTCAACGCCGTTGTCTTGCAGATAAATGTCAGGCCTGTTGGGAATGCTGTATGCACGGAGCTGTACTTGCAGAAACATGAATGTGCACACGTTCAGTTTTTGCAGAAATGCCTGTGCACACATGTAGCATCTTCTATGAGTCATTGCTAATATTGGGAAGATCTGACCTTTGTAACTAGGGAAACAACCCTTTAAGTCCCCCAGGTTGGTGTCACAGGAGTCCAAGGAGGCTTAAATGGCTGTCACTAACCGATAGCTTCTGGCTGAGACACCAGACTAAAGCCTAATCTTAGCTTCTCTCTGAAATCAGACAAAGCTGTAAGCTGAAAGTGTGATGTGACCCCAGGCCACTCCTTCCCCTTAGGCACAGCTCCACATCCCTCTTCTGGCTTTCCTGGTTTTCAAACACCTCTCAGGGGCACGAGAGAACATGTGGAACGTGAGAGTCAACAGCTGAGGGGCTTATGTCTTTATACAAGCTTTCATGTGTGAAAATCCGTCTGTATTCCGAGATGTGCACACTGTACATGGTACAGATAGGCAGCTTGGTGGACAATATTCCATGGAGCATCTTGAGTACCAACTCCCAGATTAGCAAATCAAACAGAGGCCAGTGATTCAGAAGGTTTTCTGCTGCCCTTGATAGCATAGCTCTCTGGATGCTGCTAAAGAGAGGGGCGGTCCCGATGCTTGTTTTCATGGTTTCACGAGGATGATGCTCCAGAATAATGTAGCTTTAGCGAGGGTCTGTATCATCTTGTTTTCAACTCCCTTAGCTCTAAAATATGTGCTTCCCATTCACCCATTGTCCTGTAACATTTTCAATAGATGTTATTATACTATTTTTAAAAGTTAAGCTTCATTAGAGCACAGTCATGGCTCCTCCCCTTCTCCTGAGAAGTAAGCTATTATCCCCATGCTTCTCAAGTTGAACTGGCTGAGTTGGTTGCTTTGACGGGATTACTCAGAGACCAAATCCCATGTCCTCACATGACCTATCTGATGCCTCCTTGCCTTCAGTCTTGGCTGGGGCTGCAGGAGCTACAGGAACAGCAATGGTGGCCACAGCCATGGGGGCAGCAGCCAAGAGTGCAAATGGATCAGTCAAGAAGGCCCTGACCTTTTCAGCAAGTGGGAAGGTGTCCTCAGTCTCCACAGACAGACAGAACCTGCTTGCACGCACCGATGATACAGCGTGGAACACTAGTTGGGTGACCAACCTGCAGAGACACACCGGCAGCATTTCAGACGCCCTCCAGGAATCCAGAGCTCAGAGTCTGTTCTGTGGTATCATCACTTCTGGGCTGTAGATGCTGCCATCGGCTGGATGATCAGCCCAGAGAAGAAGCTCAGTATGAGCGACAGTGTGGCTTCGTGGGCTCTTGCTTTGTCTCTCTTTACCAGCTCACAGCGCTCAGAGTTTCAGCAGTGCCCCTGGAGACTTTAGAGGAGAGGAAGAAAGAGGTCTGCTCCCACCCCAGACCAGAGTTCTTGCTGGCACAGTGACCTCACACAGGGCGATGGCACCAGCATGAACAGAAGCCTGCACTTTACTGCCCAGCAGTGTGTCCCTGACCTCTGTGAGGTCCTCATTGATGAACACAAAGCCCACACTCCGCCAGCTATGAGGCAGCAGTTTCTCCAGAGCTGGGAAGTTTACAGATGCCCCATAGCTGTGCATGTCCTGGGCTTCTTTCTCGTCAGTACCATAACCTTCCTTCCCAGAGACATGCTGATCTACTAATCTGCTTGGAGTTCACATCGTCTGCTCCCACAATGAAGCATTTTGGACAATCATCTCAAAGATCCTAAGGAGGTAGGCAGACTTCCAGGTCACTTTGTTTTCCCTGGGCATCACGGCAGTGTCTTAGGGATTGCCACATAGGGTTTAAAGACAATGTCACTGTAACGAAGATGCCTGCCAAGAAATCTTTTCTATTTTCTCTATGGCAGTTTCCTTGCCTAACAGTGGAAGTGACTAATTCCAATAGTGCCTGTAAGACCCTCAACGCCTGAACGTACCTGTTCCTCTGTGCCTCTGAGTTCCACATCTGAGGTCTTAATTAAGACCAAGAAACTCAGGGAGGAAGGCCATCTTTGCTGATCACAGACTTCTTTCCTTCCCATTGTCTCCTGAACAATGCAGTAGTAAGAGCTCTCACAGTGTTTGCATTGCACTAAGCAATCCAGGGACGACTCAAAGTCTACAGGTGGAGGTAGGCGGCTCTGTGCAAACCCTAATCTTATATGAGGGACCTGCATCCTCCAGTACTGGGGATCCTGGCGCCAGTCCCCATGTGACAAACGTACATGCTCTTGGCCTTTGTGTCAACGTTTGTCGACTGGGGCCCTCCACAGTTGATGGGCAGTTGAGTTGTTTACCAGTTTGAAGGTGTCCCCAACAATTCCTTTAGCACCTGTCAATACCTTTCTCTGACACAGTTGCTCAAGACTTTCCTGTGGTGCACTCGAGACAGAGAGATTGACAAGTCCAGAGCAATCGAGCCCCTTTACATTCTCCATGTCTGAGGGTTCTTGATGCTGCACAGCGTCCTAGTGCCCACGTGTGGCCAGGCAGGAATAGCTTTGTGAAGTGTTGATTGAGAAATAGAATCTCACTTTCATTCACTCTCTACTAAGTAATGACGGTGAACACTGAACATTTTGTGCATTTGTGGACTGGTTTTTTGGGAGGTTGGGAGGGGGGACTCTTGATGTTTCTTCTCCTGTGAATTTCTTGTCATTTGCGGAGTCTTTGTTTGGCTATTCGTCCTGTGAACATTTGCCAGAATTCAAGTAGAGCCATGTACATGAAACTCTAAAAAAAAAAAAAACAAAACAAAACAAAAAAACTCCCAAAGAAACAAACTCAGAAAGCTGGAATCTCTCACAGATGCACCTGTCAGTAAGAACATTGACAAGTGACATGGCCAGGGGCGTGCAGAGACCACTACAGCCTGGCAGAGAAAATGCTTCTGCAAGGTCAGATGCCCAGCAGTTGCCTGTCTGGGGGGACTGGCACTACCCGTAAGTGACCCATGCCACTGAGGGTGACTGCTGTATGTGACCTTTTACAAGTCCCCTTTGTCTTCCACTGCTCTGGGAATATGGCCTCCTGAGTTTCCCCTGCATGTGCCTTCTGGCTCAGCTCAGTCTTGGGAGACTACCCATATGTTATTTAGGTTGGCAGCCTTTCTACGCTTGATTTATAGGACTCCTTCCCAATATCCTGCTCGGCAGTGTTCCATAAGGACCTTCCCCTACCTGTCACTACCCACTACACTTTGTCATTGATCATTTTCACTTAGCAGGTTTGGATTTTAATCAAATCAACTTTTCCCCCTGTGCTTTATGCCTTTTAAAATTTTTAAATTAAAAATAGATTCTTTTCATACAATATATTCTGATTACAGTTTTCCCTCCTCCAACTTCTCCCACTTTTTTTTTCATTCTTAAAAAACTTTTCCTTTTAAGAATATGAAATGCTTCGTGAATTTGCATGCCATTCTTGTCCAGGGTCCGTTCTCGTCTTCTCTGTATCCTTCCAGTTTTATTGTATGTGCTGCTGAAGCAAACACTTTTTCTCCTCTGATTTGAATAATCAAAAAGAACTTCTTATCTCGACACTAACAAGAATTTTTCTCCAATGTCTTCAAGTCATTCTCTGCTGGATTTTAGTGACAGCATGCTCACTCCTTGGGCAGTTTTGTGAGGCGAAGCTTTATGTTCTCTGCCGAGGTCAGGAACTGAGAGAGTCAGTGAGTTCCTCCGGGTTCATAGCTGAGAATGACAAAATGGGGAGAGAGATCCACGTCCACAGTAGAGATCTATGTCCACAGTAGAGATCCGTGTCCGCAGCAGAGATCCATGTCCACAGCAGAGATCCACGTCCACAGTAGAGATCTATGTCCGCAGTAGAGATCCGTGTTCACAGTAGAGATTCATATTCACAGTACCTAAGTCCAACATTTCCTCTAGTAGGCTCATATCTAAGCCTTTCCCCCAAAAGGCAACCTTCTCCTGTGTCCACTTGGATGCTTCACGTCATAAAGAAAGCTACCATTTGACCTTCTAGGTCTCAGCTCACCAAATTCCCACAAATTGTACTTGAATTCTCCTGACATGTGAAAATACCCTAGGGAGACATTTTGTGTCCCCCACGTCCCCAGAGCTACCAGACACTGGAACTGAAGGAATCGGGATTTCCCAGGTGTCTTATAGTGGGGAAGGAAAAAGATGGGCCGTGCTGCACGGCAGATAGGGAGCTTGTCTCCCAGAAAGACTCCACGCAGATCTCACATCTTGTCAGAGCAGCTTGCAGGAGAGCGGGGGCTTATACAAGGATGGGTCAGCCATCAGTGGGACCACATCTCGACCAGGACTACTTAGCTGCGCATACTCTCAACCTGTACTTAGACCTAAATCTCATGTCAGGACCCCGGAAGACAGATCGGGGCTCAGCAAACCTCTCTGTGGTCACCTGGATAAATTTCCTCTCTCTACTTTTGACTAATTGGTCTTTTTAACTGGCCAATTGTAGGAAGGCAGCTAAGCCTAACCTATCAGGGATCCAGGGGTTGCCCTAACAATAACTATCCCTAGGAAAATGACACATTTGGGGTGTCACCCACCCACAACAAGTTGACCGCAGGCAGGGAGACAAGGTCGAATGCTTGGAACAGCAGCTGCGGTTACTTTATTGCAAAGGCCACCTACCCCTAGTCACCATTAGCTGCCTTTTGTCTTTATTTAGTGAGCAGAAATGAATGCCTGGACTCCCCCAGAGTTTCCCCAGTTGGTGCACCTTGGAGTTCTGAGCCGTCTAGGTTCTGTTGGATAGTTTGGGCTACTCCATCATCTACAGCAGGCCTTGTCAGTTTGTGGGAAATTTTAGAATTTAGATTTCTGCTGGCTATCAAAGCATCTGAGTATGACAAGGAAGGCTGAAATGTGTCTTTGGGACTTTTCTGAGCGCTGGGTTCTGTTGAGCCGTTTGGGATGCAGAGACACAGAGGTGTTCAGAGAACTCGACTGCGATTTGTGTAGCCATGGAGAACAGTACGTGCTCATTTTCTTACTGTCTCCTAGGGAGACTTCCAAGTGACCAGGCTTCTGTAGCCTCATGGTGATTTATCTAAAAGTACACTTTGCATTAAATATAATTACTTCTTGTGTCATTTTGTGTCTAAAGCAGCATGGGGACAAAGTTAATCTGTCCTTGCGGGGGAAAATTCTCCTTAGATTTGCAAGATGAGATAGCTCTTGAAAATCCTGCAATGGGATTTTTTTTCAGGGATGTTATCAATATGCAAGTGAGGAGTGTAGGATTGGTGTCGAGGCTGTTATACACAAGGCATGGTGGCTGTGTGTGTGCAGTCCAAGGCCTTTATGTCGTATATTTTTTTCTTGATGGGAATTCGAAAGATGCAATCCCTATAAACCTCCAGGACCCGGGCATGTTGAAACTATGTACTGTGGGACACGTTGAAACTGTGTACTGTAGTAAAACAGCAAGGTTGTTACATCTTACCCAAAAGATGGATAGTTAATGTCTTTCACTTAAAGGGTGATTAAATTGTTAAAATGTTCAGAGAATATCTAAAATGATTTGTGGCAGGTAGATTTAAAACATCTCATTTGATCTAGGTATTCTTGTGTGGTTTCTAGGCTCTGCTCCCTATAAAATACGAATGTATTTGTTGACATTAAGAAGAGCTAATTTCATTATTAGATAGTAAAGTTGTGATAAGATTAATTCTAATGCTAAGATAGTGTGTCGCTAGGAGACAATACATTTTCTTATAAATAATGCTACAAGATTGGATAATTTAATATCTGAGTTGGTATATGTATACCTTGTATAGTTATCCAGATTATGTTTTATTAAGCTGTCTATGTTTTTGACTGATTTTTTGCTACTCAGAAAACCATCTCTTAGCAAAGTCCTGGTTTACTTCCATACCTTTTTGTGTTTAGGTCTTTCGAATGACCACTTTAATAATCAGTTGTTTTAATGTGGTTTTCCTGTAGGTATGTGTGTATGACTGCATATATATGGCCAGCAATTATGCACAGATGTATATCCAAACTTTAAGCACATGTAAAAGTGTTAGCTCAGATGTCAAGAGCACTGGCTGCTCTTCCAGAGGACCCAGATTCAGTTCCTAGCACCCATATGGTACCCCACATCCGTCTGTAACTACAGTTCCAGGGGATCAGATGCCCTCTTCTGGCCTCTTCAGGGCCTATATACATGCGGTATGTATATGTACAAGTAGACAAAACACTCATACAAATTTTTTAAGCTTACAATTAAAATGTGTATTCTTAATACATGTAAAGTGACCAATAAACACTCCTGTTTATACAGTATACATTAAATCTGGATTTTAAATGTTCAAAATGGCTAGTGAGATTTTCTGCCATTTCTTGTCATTGCCATCCAGATAAAACAAACAAACAATAAAACCCAACATTTAGATAGTTCTGCTCGTTAAGACCTGACTGGAAGGTCTCAGATGTGGGGCTCAAGAGTAAACTGAGGCAGATTATTGGGGGTAAGAAGTCTAATAGAAGAGTTATTAATCCTACGGACAGAGAGACAGACAACAGCAGGGCAAGGACTCTGCGGAGAGTTCAGGCCTCAGTGTCAGAAATAGACAGTCTGGTGGGACCTCCATGAGGCCCATGGGGAGGGGGTCCTTCTTATAGACCCAGGAGGAAGAGGGGACATTTCATTCACAGTGGGAGCCTGCAACCAGGGTCTCTGACCCCTAGGCAGAAGGCAGGAGGTTGGGGAGAGGGGATGACAAATGGCCATTCAATCCTGGCACCTGTAGTCTATCAGCTAGAGCTTCACAGTGTCTCAGCAGGAGGCCTGTGGGTTTCTGCGAGGGAGGAGGCTGCTGCAGGTACAGCGGCCTCAGCAGTAATCTGCTCTATTTTCGCATCCCACCTGGGCGCTGATTGCCATGACTGAATTAATTCTTTGCTATTGAATGTGCGGTGTGCCCTTGAACATCAGAAAGTGAGACTGCCATTGTACTGTTTCCCCCAAATTGAAAAGAGTCTTAAGATTCAATTTATGTCAGTGCTGTGTTCCTCAACATTACTGTGTATAAAGAACTCCTGTGTGGTTCTGCGGAGTGATGTTAGCTGTTGCCAGCTCTTTTGTGTGTAAATACAGTCATGTCCTTCATGGAGTGCATAAGCCTTCAAAGTTCGGGGGAGTGCTTTACCAAGCTGATTTCCTCCCAGCTGAAACAGTCAGTGTGCTAGGCCCCGCCCCCAGAGGTGTTCCTGTCCTCAGCCAGACTCTTCCTAACCTTACACACACCCAGCTGTGCCTCCTTATGGTTAAAAAGTGCTGGACTTTTCCTCACGCAAGTGTTGTGAGGCCCTGCTGGTCAGATTTGGAGACTATCATGGCCTGGCAGCTTTCTCCAAGTAACATGAGGACTTCCTCCCCAGTGATGCTTCCTGCTCTCTACCTGCCCTTGTTTGGAGGATGTCTGTAGGCCTGGACACCTGACTTAGCTCAAGGATGACCCTGCAAACATTCTTCCCCTGTGGGCTACATGGTAATTAAATAGTGTGTTCTAGCTATTTTTATAGGGCTGTGCTGCCCCTGATCCAGCTTTATGTTAGGAGTGTGTCACTTGATGTGAATTAGGGTTTGACCCCAGGCTTTCCAATCTTACACGTTTCTTATTCTCTGGAGTAAAGTTGAGTCGTCTCACTGAAGAGCTATCTCAGTCATATCCACAGTTGTCTTAACCCTATTCCTACTTCTGTTGCCTCCCCGCTGGTGGACCAGCAGCCAAAGATCCTGAGAAAGGAGAACCATCTCCAGGGAGAGCATCTGTGAACAAGTCTCCAGGGAGAGCATCTGTAAACGAGTCTCCAGGGAGAGCATCTGTAAACGAGTCTGCAAGTTTCAAACTCGTTTTCATTCACTGTTTGCTCTGTTGGTTGTGCTTTTGTAAAACTTCAGATCGGTTGCCAGTTAACATTCTGCAGAAACACAACTCCGAAGAAAAGATTCTAGGACATCACCCACAGGATGGAAGTCATTAAATTTAAGAAAAAATTCAGGTGGGCTTGGCCTAAAAGCCCACTCCTCTGGTGCCTCTTGGTTGCTCAAAGTTGACCACAGAGGGTTTTCATTGGCAGTTAACTCCTGATATCACTTGCTTATCGCTCTGCCTTCCCAAACTAGGAACATCAAATCTCAGCAGCAAAGAACAGGTACAGTCAAGCCACAGGATGGCTAATCAGTGGAATGTGGTGGTTTGAACAGAAATGGCCACATAGACTCAGAGATTCAAATGCTTGTTCTGCAGGGAATGGCCTATATGGAGGTGTGACGTTGTTGTCTGCCTGCATGCTGCCATGCTTTCCTCCATGATGATAATCGACTCAGTCTCTGAACTTAGTCAACCCCAATGAATGTTTTCCTTTATAAGAGTTTCTGTATAGCCAGGCAGGGGTGGTGGTGCACAGCTTTCTTTCATCCCAGCGCATAGGAAGCAGACACAGGCGGAGTCCTATGAGTTCAAGTGAGTTCCAAGACAGTCGG